GATTCAATCAATATTTTTATAATAAATTGAAAATTTGAATTTTGCTGTTTTAAAAGATGTAAACATTATTTGTTTTCAAATAATCTTTTTTTGTCGAAATTGCTTAATCGATTTTTCAAAATAATCAAACAGCTTCTTATAGATTTTGAAAATCTAATGAATAATGACATTCTTTGTTTTGTATAAAAGTGTTGTGAATCGATGAAAAGATTTAAAAATACAAAAAAAATAATTGATTTGTTGCTATTGTTTTTGACTTAAGATAAAATTAGACCTCTTCAAGTCCCATGGGACTAGGTCAAGTCTAGTCCCAAGTCCCAGTGCACTCCACTCCCGTGGGAGTACCGAGCATTTCTAGTCCCTCCCATGGGAGTGGAGCATACTCCCACAGGGATTCCCCAATTCCCCGCCAAGGCCTCAATTTTGCATAACTAACCAAATTAGTATGGATAAATTCGCTGACTACTTACTTTATATTACTGTTATTCACACCTGTTCTGATCAACAATGTTATTTATATTAAATCCTATCCAAAATCTGGATAAAACCTTTTCAAGTTTCCCTGTATAGAATCCGTCTCTTATAAGGATATACGTTCTACGTGATTTATAGGAATTTAATATGTTTTTAGGTGGTTGAAGACTAAAAGATGTAAATTACACTGAGTACTTAGGTAAATATATATATTTCTTACAGAGTAAGTACAGCTGTGTATACCAGAATCTCTTAAACTATAATGATATCTTGATCTTGATAATAATCCTTATATTTTTAGTACTAAAATTGAGTATTTATTCTCTATTCTTGAAATAGTCTTCTTTTAGGCGCTTTTATTCAATGTGGGAGAGATAAATCTCTATATAAAAGTTATAATGGATGAAAAACTTCCATGTAAAATCAGCGGGGGGCGGCGAAGACCCCCAAAAATCATGGATTGGGAATTGGCCATTAGTCCCATGGGGATTGTACCGGAACTGATGGGGATTGTACTGGGACTAATGGAGATTCCCCATGAGACTAAAGAGAATTATCCAATCAATGCTGAGCTTGTAGAGACCCCTCTTTTCTTTTATGATATATCAACTTTTGCTTATTATTTACTAAACGGGCCTAATTCATGGCCTGAAAAGATTATCACGCGTTGTAAAAGTTGAATGTAAATTCTCTACACTCTCTTTTTATCACATAACTTGATATCATAGATCAATTTAGCCAGTTCTCTGATGCTGGTCCCTCAAATTATTACAAAGATCATCTTGACAGTCTTTCGTATATTCCATCAGATCCTCTACAATCCTTTACATCTGATCTCAATTATAGTCAAGCAACAACAATAAATACTTCAACTCCACCATCTGAGTTTTTTCAGCCAATATCAGGCCCTGATACCCTCCGACGCGTTGATCCCGATCAAAAAAAGGTTTATATACTTTATGAAGCCATGTCAAAGGAACAATTTATCTCTTGGTAACTGCAAACACAATATGCAACTGTGGAAGAGAAAAATAAAAGAGTTCACTAGAATGCGAAGCATACTTCAGATATATGGAACTATTTTGACCAAGTAGCCCATCAGCTTACTGATGAAACAAAGGTTATGTGTCAAAAATGTGGAAAAGTCCTTCCCTATCCACATGATAAAGAAGATGGAACAAACTCTATGAAACGCCATCTTGGATCAAATTCATGTCAAAGAATTGCTGATGATCGGTTGAAGCAGCAAGATATTCAACAATCACTTGATTCTATGATATTTCTATTCTATTTAATGTGTTAAGACTTATATACTAAGCTCCTCTGGAAAATAGGCACATCTTAGTCCGCAACAACCTAAGAAGGTTTTTACCCAGGACCAATGGGCACGTAAGCAAATTACCTTAATTGCTCGATCATCGCTTCCATTCCAGTTCCTAGCCCATAAGGACTTTGCGGAACTTATTGAAATGGCTCAATTAACCCCATCAAGGCCTACACTCCTCACTCCATTGACTGCTCGTTGTCACCTCCAGTCGATAATTAAAAATGACCAACAAAAAATTCTTCAAGATCTTCCGCTAAAAGCAAAGCTCTCAATTGCTCTTGATTATTGGACTTCCTCATTTCAACAAGCCTTTATGGCAATCACTGGTTATTTTATTGATAAGGATTGGAGATATCATGAGATTTTACTTGGCTTTGAGCCGCTCCACGGAACACACTCTGGGGTCAATTTGAGCAATGTTCTCCTAGAGATGCTCCAAAAATATAATATCATCAACCGAGTGCTAGCAGTTATGACAGATAATGCATCAAACAATAATATCTTGATTGAGAGTATCCAAAAATCAATTCAGTCTCTTGAACTTCCTAACCAGACTATTATTGTCCGAATCCTATGCTTAGCTCATGTAATTCAGCTAAGTCTACGTGAACTTCTTGGCCAGATCAAAGCCAATCCAAAGAATGATAACCCAAATAGAGTGTGATCAGATTCACAAGCACAGTCCCTCCACACTAATCAACGCGAACAGGGAATTATTTATACTCTTGCAAAGATAAGTTCCTCTCAATATATTCCTTAATAGTCTACTAATAAATTGCCTAGATCCGTGGATTCGCAACATTTGTTAATGCTAGTCCACAACAAAGAAAGGCTTTCTTAAGTCTTCAAATAGATAAGCCAAAGCTTATTCCTCTTCAAGATGTTAGAACTCGATGAAACTCTACATTTTTTATGCTTCGTCGCGCAAAACACCTTTTATCAACTTTTAATCAATATTGCGAGCTACATATACAGTCTCAATTCAAGCTCAATACAAAGAAGTGGCGACAGATTGAATATCTTCTTTGTATTACACAGCCTTTCTACAAGTTTACAACTGATCTCTCACAAACAAAGAAGGTTACTGTTCACAATATCTTCCGAATCTATAACCAGCTTTTTGATCACCTCGAGGGGTCAATACGGTGACTAAAAAAAAAAAAAGTACCTTGGAAATAAACAATGCTTCATGCTCTTAACGCAGGTCAGGAGAAGCTGAGGCTTTATTATAGTAAAACCGAGGAAATTCATAATAATCTTTATGCAATTGATACAATCCTTGCGCCCCAACATAAATTGAAGTTCTTCTCAGACAGAGAGTATAATAATGATCCTGAATCGCATCAAAAATATAAAGAATACCTTCAAACATTTATAAAACCTTATCAACAACATTATTCTAAAGCACAATATCCGACACAGCTTCTGCAACAATCAAACACAGATGATCTTGAAGATCTTTTTGATGAGAATACAGCTGAAACTTCTAATCAAGAGAAGACACATTTTAATGATGAATTAACGGAATATCTTGAAACTAGTAAGTGATAAGATATCTTCTTATTTTTATTATTGCTAATATCTATATTTAGATCCAAAAAAAATTGCACCCCTAATCTTCTGGAAAGAACATGAACGCGAGTTTCCAACACTTGCAAAAGTCACACGAGATATTTTCTCTATTTCTGCAACAGGTGCGGGCGTTGAACGTCTATTTAATTCAATTCAAGATATCTGTCATTATCGCCGAAGATCACTGAATGCTATCACAATTCAAGATATTATGATGTTTCGCTGTATCTCAACATTCGATATTAGCAGTGAAGAGGATACTCTAGAAGATCCAGCTCTCACATCTGAAGAGAGACAAGAGACAGATGAGCGAAAGAAAACTGATCTTCTTCAATATACACTTAATTCAATCAGTGATGATGAAGAAGATGAATCATTCTTGAATTGGCGTGAACCATTTATTGAGATACATATACAACCGTCGAGTCAACGCGCACTTAGGAAAAGACGACAGTCTATCGTTGATAAAAGCGAGGAGGATACACATGAAGCAAAATTTGATGATGATAATCGACCTCTACCTGAAAGTAATATTCAGATACGGGTATCTGGTAGAGCAAAGCGTCCAAGACGAGAAGATGACGTCTTTGCTTATTATACCTAGATATTGGGCTTGTAAATACTTTTAATGAATATATTGACTCTGCTATTTTTCTTAATTATGAAATATTTCTTGTAGACAATGTAACTGTAACCCAAATACAGAAAAATACAGCCAAAAACTACATAAATTATGCAAGTCTCGAGCAAGACGATTTTGCTTATAAATCAGTCCCATGGGAATTCCCATTAGTCCCATGGGAGTCCCATAGGGGTCTTAGTCCCACTGGTGGGACTAACCTTTGGTCCCAATGCACTCCCATATAGTCCCGTGGGACTAGTCCCATGGGACCGGTCCCGTGGGAGTTGAAGAGGTCTAGGCCAATACCGCTATCGCCCCTGGGCCAAAACTCTTAGGATTCGCACCGTGACAATAACTATATTATATATTTAAAATATATTTTCGTATCTTTACATATTAATTGTATTAATTTTTCATATAACATATTATAACATTTATCTTAGATCCAAAAAAGACTATGCTTAATATTATTATGTTAATAGATTTATTTAAAAGATTTATTTCAAAAGATTATATAAAAGATAGATCAAAATCAATAGAATTGTAGTTAGACATATAAAACAGATATAAAAAACAATAATATATAATGATATGTTAGCGAATTTATCTATTTTAATCAGGAAAGATATAAAAGAATTATGCAATTCAGAGTAGTCAGGATTGTAGTTAGGATGATCTTGACAAAATTTTATGACCCTGAGGGTTGATCCGGGTTGTAAAGCTTGGACCCGGAACCGTCCAGGTCCGGGTCGCGAGTCGGTAGGAGGGACCCAATATCAGGGTCATGGCGAGGTCTACATTTCATCATATTATGTTGAATAATTAATAATTGATCCTTTCGGGCTTGAGCGAGGCGATGAAGCGCCGGATTAGTCAACTCCCGCGGCCACATGACCCCTCGCATCTGTCCTCAAGGTACCTCAAGCTATCGGCAGTGGCAACCCACCCCTCACTCCACCGTTAAAAGTACTGCGAATATCCAGAATACTTAACATTCCAAACGCAATGATGTATGAGCCGGAGCACAACCGGCATATCCGGGCACCTACTGTGTCCCAACATTCCACCACTCAGCGCCGCGACAATGTGTTCGAGGACATCCATATTGACGAAGATGTCTTCCAATTTATCGGCTCTACGGGCAGTCACACGACATTCGCGAAGAATATCTCGGCCAAATTGCGAACAGTCCAATGCCTTGGAGAACTATCTGAATCCTCTCTTCAGAAAATTAACGATCGCAGACCTACGGCCGAAACAGGCACAGGCCCAGAGTCGACGACGAATAAGTTTGCGCAGCATGGAAAGGGTCAAACGCTAGGAATAGGTGCCGCAGACTTTGTGCCGCGAAAAATCTTTGATCAAGTAAGCTGAAAAGGTTTGTTGTGCCTCTTGCAGTTGCCACGCAGCACGGCGGGCGAGATGCTCAGAGATTTGAATTTGATAAATTTATTAACGGGAAGGCAGAATTCAATGGTCTCAGCCTGGCCCTGTTCCGTCTTTAGATTTTCTATATCGAGAGTCTCGAGCGTGGTTTTAAATTGGATCAGGCGGTTTCAGAGTGCTGTTAGGCCGTGAATGGTCCATTCACACGGCCCCGTTTTGGAAACTAGATTCCACCAAGTTCTATGTTCTAAGGAGCGGTCTCTCCGTCTGCTGGGATTGATCTCCCGCAACGTATACGTGTAGTCACTTCTCTGATGAGTAATTGGAGATCTTAGCGTGCTTGCTCGCTCGCACTGCTAGACCTGATCCCTCACCACGGGCGTGTCAAGCTGATTGCACTATTAGGGCAACTAGTGGCAGCGCACCTTCAGCGACGAGCAGTTATCTCAACGTGGTGCTAAAGTCTAGTACTCGGACAACGAGGTTCGGAGCCTCTTGTTGCAGAAAGCTAAAGACTGCTCAATCCAATATAGCTTTAGAACATTTAGTTTGTTTTACTTTCAGTGTGCTGAGTCTGTTTTCGCAACAGCACAACAAATGAACCGCCAAGAAGTAGGAAAGATTATGACTCCCGAGATGCGGGAACAGGTGCAAAGCTATAGTAACACATCAATTTTTATACTCCCCAGTCTAACGGAAAAGAGTAATAGACCTGCTCTCACTAGACTAAATATTTTCATGGACAGGGCTGACTTGAAGTTTTGCGTCGTAGATACGTGAAGGTATCAAATCCGTAATAGTTCAACGGGGTTGGTTGCTGTTACATTGACGTTGCACCTCCATCATATGGAACTGATTACCTGCAAGGGCTGTTTCTGCCGGTTGGGGCCCAGTTATCACCTGCTGGTGGGGAGAGGACTTCGTAGTTCGGAGTAACTCCTCGGTATGATTGGGGCCCCGTAAAACGCTGCACGTTGGTTCACTGCAATCATTGGGAAGAATTTCTTCCAACTATCAAGAGACGAAAATTCGGCCCATTTTCGATTTTGCCTTGTGAATTTCTGCAAACAGCCACAGCTCGCACGCTCAACTAGATTATTTGCCACTTCAAAATATGTCAACAATTTCCCGTTCTAATGGACATATTCTGACCATACTGACCTTTGTCCCTATGCAGCAGATGCCTCCTTACAGCTAAACATCTTTCTTCGTGAAGAACCACATGATACATTACGTGATGGCCATATCGTTTCGCGAACGATTCGGTTTCTCCATCCTCCCATGTCACTCGGAGAGTTCCGGGCGTGGAACCAGCAAGAAGAGCTATATTACGCGGCATCGCTTGGAGTCTGGCTTTCACAGCCCGCATTTCAAGTCGGCGACGCTCGTAATTCATTACAGTTGGCGCGACCTTTGACATCTCATCCTGTACCATCGTAAAGAGTTCCTCAATGACGTGGTCACACACAAATGACCCGTTCGTCAGCACTGGGTTGAGCCGGCATGGATATCGGTGCATCTTATCGACATCAAAACAGTACTGGTCCAATGTGACGGTTTGGCGGGCATGGTCCACCAGTATTTCGATTTTGCTATCGCTCTGGACAATATTGATGTTCGATGGATACGAGCAGGAAGCCAAACACTGTTTTTGGATTTTCGCAAGCCATGGCGTTCTGGAACAGATGAATGCGCTGTTCGTCTGCGGTCCTGATTGGCACAGTTCCACGCAGTAGGCTCCAAAGAGAATCCGGTAAACCCACTGGTTCTTTTCCCAAAATGTTTATGATTGCCTCGACACTCTAGACCCAATCAGCAAACCTCCTGTGTGCCTCGTTGGTTTTATAACTTACCCTACTAACGTCTCTTTGGCAGAAGTAGAACATCCGTCCATCCGCTATTTTCAAGAGGTGTTTCCATATTAGAAGTTTTGTGGAACTCTCTAGGAGCTCTTCTGCAAGTTCAATATCCGGCGCGCGAGGGAAAGACCCCAGTAAATTCACGTAAATAGGCAGGATTAAACTCTCATTCTGTTGAATGGCCGATTCCCAGATTTTCCGCAGAAGATCAGCTTGCTGATGTTGATCAACTAATCGCTGCCTATCACGATTGACATTCCCCTGGACAAAATTGTAGCCCAGCTTGAACGGTCATGACTCCGACATGCTTGAAGGAAGAAGAAGTCCTTTCAAGAAAAGTTTGCCACGATACCTGGGCTCAATGATCAGATCACCATGTGCAGTTTCCATAATGGACTGAGGGTAGGAATAACCTCTGATTTCAAGGGAGACATTCAGCCACTTTCTAAACTGTTCAAGAGAGACTCCTTGGCTACCTGACTTGTGTCCAGGTCCGATTGAAACAGTAACGTCCCTCCAGATACGGGACACGAAGCGAGCCATGTCTCGACCTGGATTTGGTTTTCTTTTTGGAATGGGCTTCCGAGACGAACTGATCGTGCAGCAAAATCTAGATGGATCTCCCAAGCAGAAGTTCCAGTGTGTGTTGTTTGTCTCCACACTGACTTGGTAGTCTTCTCGTGACATCACCATAGTCGCCAACTTGAGGCCCTCGCCGTGACATCCGGCAAGCTCGCTTTTTCCGCGCTTCGTGGTCTGGCCGAATTGGAGGGCCTCTGGTTCAAGTTGAGCGCAAGCGTTTGCCAGTATAACTTTCCCAGTGTTCTTGTCGTATCTGATGAAACCAAAGGCTTGAGACTTCGGCTTCTCTTTTGGCACAGTGATACATATCTGTTGTTCATTCTCTCCGTAGACTGGCCGAAATGATCTGAGGTTCAGATGGAATGATTCGAGGATTGCGTCCTTCCTGCTCCGAATGAGCCATTTACGCTGCTTCAAGGCAAAGTGCAACGTACCAATTCTGATATAGTTCCCTAAAAGCGGCGGTCGTATCCCATTCCTTAACATAGCAGGGGGAGAAATTGAGAGAGAACTCTGTCTGGCTAGAGTTATTCGCGAGAGTCTTGTCACGCCAGGTGTCAGAGACTTCTGAGCTCCCCGCTTGCAGGTGGGTGGGAGCGACAGCCTCATTTTCACTATTTTTCTCACCTGAAGGAAGTGCCATTTTATTGAAACAAATCCAGGCATTCGTGGTAAGTATCTATGGCGAGGAACGAGGCGATACCTAAAATGTCTGGCTGCTTACGCACCTTATATAGAAACCAGGAAGAACTTTGCGAAATTCTCAGACCAGCTGGCTTGAGACTCGATCTAGACTTGTGGTATTGTCAAATTTGCGGTGGCCTTGGGAATGCGAATTTGTAAATTGTACGTTCATAAAGTTCATGCGGAATGACGTTTCCGGTATCGATGTCACCTACAACAAGGGATCTATTGACAGTCTGAGGACTATTAGAGGATAATAGTTTACCGGCCATTGTGGGTATTCCCTTCATCTTGTTCTACTTTGGATGAGGAAAAATACACGGTAAACAATAACTAGGAAAGTGGGGAATGGGCCGCTATCGGGGCTGAAATTACAAACACCAGATGGAATTAACAGATAAAAGTTTAATTTCACGTAGATCTCCACTTGTGAATCTTACGTAACGTTTTCAACCACCGAGCGGTCTAAACCCCCGAGCGGTCCGTTTTCTTCCGCACCCCCATCTAAATCGACCTTTAAAACCACCAACGCTATTAGAATTGATTAATTAAAATACATGAAATAATAGCTATTTACTAGGGCAATTCCGAATTGTATGTCCAATTGTTCCACACCCACTACAGCGTTGCGGAGCTCGTCGACGAGGCGCCGGAGTAGATTCCGCAGGCTGCTAATTAAGCTGCGTGTTAAGCTGCTGAACGCGATTTTCACCTTCTTGTATATTAAGAAGGCGGTCATTTCCTATTTCAGCACGTTTTCTTGCCTTTTTCTGGCGTTGTCGTTCATTTTCAGCACGTATAGCTCTAATTTCTTGCTCTAAAAGTAGCTGGGTTTGCATTGCCATTTGCGCCGCTTTCTCAAGATGTTGAATATGCGCAATAGGACTGCTAGAAAGCTGCCGCTTTCTATTAAGGCTGTTCTGCAGGCTTCGAACCTTTCGATCTAGCTGGCGAGTATTCTGCGGAGTCTGAAAAGCAGAGGAAATTGAGCCTTCAACTAGTGGTGGTGTAGGCGTACGTAGTTGAAAGGTAAGCGTAGAGAGAACATGCTCTGGATTAAGCGGCTTAAGTCCTGTTCCTCTAAAACCGCTGCAGATATTAGATGAAGTAAAGACTTCCTTGTGTGCATCTGGATATAGCGATAGAAAGTCTTCTTTATCAATATGATTGTTGCCGACTTTCATACGATGTTCAAGAAGCTTTCCGTACGCCTCTTAAGCGGACTAAAGACACCCACATCAAGCGGTTGAAGAAGATGCGAAGCATGGGCAGGCATGCAGAGACAGATTATTGCATGCTGCTTGCAGAAATTATCGAATTCAGCAGTTAGATGGTTGCTATGACCGTCAAGAATAAGTAACCGCTTAGCACCAGTCATATAACGCTTAGAAAGCGGTTCAAAGACATTTTTCAACCAGAGAAGGCCTATTTCATCAGTCGTCCAGCCATTCTGACTAGTAGAAATCCACCAGTCGCGAGGAAGCTTAGGTTCTTGGAACCAGGCAGCCTGTTGGACGCTTGCTTTCAATATAATGACTGGCGGTAAATGTACGCCTTTTGACCCGATTGTCTCGATAATTGTGACCCATTCACGATTGCTCTGAATAACTCTGTGCGGCCGCTCGCTTCGCTCAACTGCAATAATCACTTTTGAAGTAGAGCAGAGTCTCATTGCAAAGCCAGTCTCGTCGAAGTTCCAGATATCGTCTTCATGTATGCCGTATTCTTGAATAGTTGCTTGTACAGTCTCAAACCACGGTTTTATAATCTTTGGATCTTCCTGCTTTGCGCGCTGATAGATAATACGTCTAGTATATCGCGTACGGAGCTCAGGATGACGCTTAACGAATTTATAAGGCCAGT